CTGGGGGTGTTTTCCTTCTTTCTTTCGTTTGTTTCGAGACAGGGTTTCACTGTGTGTAGCCCTAGCTATCCTGGAACTCGCTCTGTAGACAAAGTTGGTCTCAAACTCGCAGAGATCCACCTGCCTCTGCCTCCCGAGTGCTGGGATTAAAAGTGTGTGGCACCACTTTCCAGCTGGTGATGTTTTCTTTTTCTTTTTTTTTTTTTTATGTAGTTTGGTTTTTGGAGACGGTTTCTCTGTAACTTTGGTGCCTGTCCTGGAACTAGCTCTTGCTTGTAGACCAGGCTGGCCTCTCCTCAAACTCACAGAGATCCTCCTGCCTCTGCCTCCTGAGTGCTAGGATTAAAGGCTTGTGCCACCACCACCCAACTTAGGGATACTGTCTTAAATAACTGACACCCTACACATTGCCCATCAGTCCTCTAGTGATCCGTGAGTCTGGGGAAGTGATTTGGGCAACTCCCTTCAGGACTTGTGGAATTTGAGCCTGTGAGATGGCTGGCTCAGCAGGTAAAGGTGCCCGATGCAAGCCTGATGACCCAAATTCAATCCTAAAACGCACATTATGGAAAGAATCGGCAACAAAGTCTCTGGTCTCCACAAGTATCAAGGAATGCCTACATATGCAGATATAAAATACTGCAGGGTGGCTTAGTGGTTAAGAGCAGTTCTTCCAGAGGACCTGAGTTCAATGCCCAGCACCCACGTGGTGCTTCACAACCATCTCTAACTCCAGTCCCAAGGGATCTGACCCTCACTCACTTCTGGCCTCCACAGGCACCAGGCATATATGTGATGCACAGACATATATGCAGGTAAAAGATGCTCATAAAATATAATTTAAAAACCACACACACACACACAACCTGTAAAGACTTGTGGAATTTTAGGGGCCTGAGTCATGCAGGAAGCCCTGGGTTTGATTCGTGTGGTGGCACATGCCTGTATTCCCAGCACTTGAGAAGAAGAGGATCAGAAGTTCAGTGTCATCCTCAGCTACGTAGTTAGTTGTCCAGGCTAGCCTGGGCTACATAAAGCCCTGTCTGCAACAAAAAGAAAAGAAGAAAAGCAGGACATACAATTTCTAGAAACCTGGGACTGGGTGATAAGAGGTCCAACATGTGTCCTTCGTAATGAGTTGGGAACAGAATTTATACCCAGTGATCTGGAGGCTGTGGTCAGAATGCTGGCTCTGGGCATTAGGCAAAGACCCCCATTCTGGGAACACTGAAGTCAGGAGAATCCCTAAGTCTGAGCTGGAGGATCTCCACCCTGGGGTGGACACTGTGATGCTCTGCATCACCCCAGGTGACCTCCAAAGAATGCACGTCACCAGTATGTTCAACAGCTGCTCCAGCCAGAGGCAGCCCCAGAAGTGTAGTTGGGGGGGGCACAGCTTGCCTCCAGGTGTGGGGGTTCCTGAGGAGACAGAAGGAAGAGTGCTTCTGCTCTGTTAATTGGACCAGAGCTTAAGAAGGCCTGTTATGTTAGAACACACCTGTAATCCCAGCACTCAGGAGATGAACGCAGGAAAATGGCAAGGTTAAGGGCAACCAGGGGTATGTAATGAGACCTCAGTTCTTTTATTTTTTGTTGTTGTTTGTGTAGCCCTGGCTATCCTAGAACTCATTCTGTAGACCAGGCTGGCCTCGAACTCAAAGATCCACCTGCCTCTGCCTCCTGGGTGCTGGGATTAAAGGCGTGAGACCTCAGTTCTTTCTTTTGGCGAGGCGGGGGGGGGGGTTGGAGACAGGGTTTCTCTGTAGCTTTGGTGCCTGTCCTGGAACTAGCTCTTGTAGACCAGGCTGGCCTCTAACTCACAGAGATCCTCCTGCCTTTGCCTCCTGAGTGCTAGGATTAAAGGCATGCGCCACCACCTGGCAGTCCCCAGTTCTTAAGATGAAGCAATGGCTCAGTGGTTAAGAGCATTGGTTGTCCTTCCAGAGGACCAGGTTTGGTTCCCAGCATCCACATGGTGGCTAACAACTGTCTTTAACTCCAGTTCCAGGGCATCTAATGCCTGTTTATTTCTGTAGGAGCCAGGCATACACATGGTGCATAGACATACATGCAGGCAAAACATTTATATACATAAAATTAAAAATAAGTCTAAAATACATGTTTAAAGGTGTGTGTGTGTGTGTGTGTGTGTGTGTGTGTGTGTGTGTGTGTGTAATGGATTAGAAAAGGCCAGTGCAGGACTGAGGGTGTGGCTTAGTTGGTAGAGTGCCTGCCTGGCTTGTGTACAGGAAGCCCTGGATTCACCCCCAGCGTCACACAAACTAAACAGTGATGCACACTGTAATCTCAGCACTGGGGAGGTGAAGGCCAGAAGAGCATGGGTTAGAGTCCTCTTCAGTTACACGGAGTTTGAGACCATTCCAGTCTACATGATGCCTTGTCTCAAAAAAATATAAGGCTTGCGGGGCAGTGGTGGCTGATGCCTTTAATCCCAGCAGTCAGGAGGTGGAGGCAGGTGGATCTCTGTGAGTTAGAAGCTAGTCTGGTTGACAGGAGGAGTTCCAGGACAGAGGCTACACAGAGGAACCCTGTCTCAGGGGGAAAAAAAGACTTGCCTAACAGGTATGAGGCTCTATGTCAGTGTTCTCAACCTATGGGTTGACTGACCCTTTCATGGGTGTCACCTAAGACCATTGGAAAACACAGATATTTATGTTATGATTCTTAATGGTAGCAAAATTAGTTATGAAGTAGTGATGAAAATAATTTTATGGTTGGGGGTCACCCATGAGGAACTGTTAAAGGGTCGTAAAGTGAGGAAGGTTGAGAATCACTGCTCTAGGTTCAATCTCCAGTATTAGGGGGAAAACAAAAAGAGAATCAGCCTTAAGACACAGACATGAAACTTCAGGATACAAAGGTCTTTTTCTGGACCACTCCAAGTGTGTACCTAATCCCCACCACCCACTAAAAGTTCCAAACAAGGTTCCTCAGTGCCCTGGTGGGCTGCAGGTGAAGGTCAGTAGATGGGATCAGAGATATCTGTCAAATATTCCCCATGGATAGTTTTCTCCCACTCCAGCAGCTGAGCCACCAAGCCCCGATTCGGACGCATGTTGTTTTTGCATTTCTTCACGTGGGCCCAGGATCTCTGTGAATGTAGAGATAAGGAAGATTTCAGGACAGGTGGTGGGACCCTTCTAGACCAGATTACAACCAGCTCAGTGGGGTCAGGAGACATCTCCCCAGAAGCCCACATGACAGTTTAAGATAAGATGCTGGCACAGGGGCTAGGGCAATAGCTCATTTGGTAGGGTATTTTCCAGGCAGGCAGAAGGAGCTGAGGCCAGTCCTCCGGACCCATGTAAAAATACTGTTTACGGTGGCACACTTGTAATCTTAGTGCGGTGAAGTGGAGACAGGATCCCTAAAGCTCACTGGCCAGCTAGTTTAGCCTAATTGTGGAGGAGAGAGAGAGCGCACACCAGGCCAGTGAAAGAACTTGTCTCCAAGAAAATCAAAGGTGATGATGCCTGAGGAGTGATAGCTGAAGCTGTCCTCCGATTCCCGACACACACTCACATACACCTACACAGCTGTGCACACACACTCATAGGCACCTATACACACCCTCATGCACAATAACACGTGCACATACACACAAAAAGAAATTATAAATTATGTAAGTATTGAATGCAGATAAACTGAACCCAGTAAATAAAGCAGAGGTGCCAGAGGCTGGGATCAGGAAAGAACAGGAGGCTGTCAATCACTAGGCACAGAACATCAGTTTTGCAAGTGAACGTTTACAAGCTGGTTTTACAAGCTGGTTTTACAACCTGAATCTACTTACTGCTAAAGTCCATATTTATAAGTCATTAAGTATGGGGGTGCAGCTCAATTGGTAGGGTGCTGGCCCCCTAAACCCATTACAAACCTCAGCTCATAACATATCTGCTGGGACTCTCACAGGCAGAAAGGTCTCACCCTGTCTACCCTGGAATGGAAGTGTGGAGCACTTGCCAGGCATACTTGGTGAGGGTCAGCGAGGCCCCGTGGAGAGTGTGGGTGCTGTGCCTGAGACATGGGCTTTGGATCCCTGCTGTACCACTATCTGTAGTTGTGCAGCACTGGAGAGAGCACCCAGACTTACCACACCTGAAAGAAGCTGGGGAGCACCATGATATTTAAGCTGCAGTGTCACTGTGAACATGCCATTACATAAAAAGAATTAAAAGGGCCAGGGCCAGTAGGACACAGTTATAACCCCAGCACTCAGGAGGCCGGGACAGGAAGAAGGATTATGAGTTCTCTGTAAGCCTGAATTCTACAGCCAGTTACAGCTGGACCTGGGTTATTAATGAGTTCCAGGCCCACCATGAACAGTGAACCCTATCTAAAACAAAACAAACCACTAAATGCCAGCTACAGGGATGGCTCCAAAGTTGCTGCTCCAATTGCTGCTTTTCCAGAGGACCCAGGTTCAATTCCCAGGACTCATATGGTAGCTCACAAGTGGGTAGAACTCCAGTTCCAGAGGATCTGACTCCCCTTCTGGTCTCCATGGGTACTGCATGCATGTTGTATACAGACACACAGAGAAACACCAGTGCACATAAAATAAAAATCAGCAAATCTTTTTTTAAAAACAAAAATAAACGTATTTGTTATCAGCATGTGTGTGCATGCCATGTATGGGGTGTTCACATGCCACCATGCACTTGTGAGGTCAGCTGCATGCTATGTATGGGGGGTACACATGCCACTACACACTTGGGAGGTCAGTTATGCATTCAACAGTGAGCAGAGTTACAGTATGCATGCATCACCAAGAAGAGATGCAGTATGCATGAACCATTGAACAGAAATGCAGTATTCATGCATCACTGAGTTCAGCTGCAGTATGCATCCATCACTCCACACCTCCTGACAGTGATACAAGGTGGCCAGCTGTTTCAAGCTCCTGCTGCCTTAAACCCTGCCCCCATGATTGTGGATTATGACCTAGAACTGTGGGCTAGAATTAACCCTTTCTCCCTTAAGCTGCTTTTGTGGAGTATTTTGTTACAACAAAAGAAGAAACTAGGGGCTCAGCAACTAAAAGCAGCCTAGGCTGCTCTTGCAGAGGGCTGGAGCTGAGTTCCCTGCACCCATGCTGGGTTGCACAAGGCTGTCTATAACTCCATCTCCAGGGGATCTCATACACAGAGAAAGAGACAGAGAGAGTTAAAGATAAAATAAATCTAAATAATAACTCTAATAATAATAATATAAATAATAATCTAAAAATAAATCTAAAGAAAAACAAATAAATGACTAAGACAAGGGCCATACAGTTGGCTGTCAACCAGAGCCCAGACTGGCTGAGCCCCTGACAGCCTGAAGCTGCTATTCTAAGCAAAGGGACCTTACTAAGAGTGCTGAGAGCTGGGTAACATCCAACCTTTGGAGTTCTCCTCCCTGTTAAAACTAAGACCCTATGGTAGTGCTCCTGTCCTAAGTATGCCCAGATCTAGCTCGGACCCCTCATAGGATATTTGTGGCCCAGGGAACAATACTTATTGTTTGTTTTGTTTTTGTTTTTTGAGACAGGGCTTCTCTATGTATCCCTGGCTGTCCTAGAATTCACTCTGTAGACCAGGCCTTGATTTCAAAGATCCACCTGCCTCTCCCTCCCAAGTGCTGGGACTAAAGGCATGTGCCAACATCACCTGGCAGAACACATACTTTTCAAAGACAGGATATCATGTAGCAAGGGTGGCCTCAAACGTGCTCCTTAATTGAAAAAGACCTTGAACGACTGATTCTCCTGCCTCCCTCTCCAGTCATAGTCCCAAGATTACAGGCCTGACCCAATGTACTCTCTTTCTGTGTTGAAGGGGACTGAACCTAGAGCCTTTGTTTGTTTGTTTGTTTGAGACAGGATCTTAATGTATGGCCCTTGCTGTCCCGGGATTCACTTTGTAGACCAGACTAGCCTCAGACTCACAGACCTCTACCTGCCTCTGCCTCTTGAGTGCTAGGATTAAAGGTATAAATTACCATGCCTGGCTTGGACCTAGAGCCTTTTGCAAGCCAGGTGAGCACTCTACCAATTGAGCACCAGCCCCAGCCACATAACACATACCTTCAAGGTCTCCTCATTATAATGCATGAGGAAGGCCACCACAGCAGCACTGCTGCGACTGATGCCCTGGGTGGAGAAGACCAGGATGACAGAGTGGAGCCGGAGGTGAAGTTCTGCAAAGGAAGGAAGCAAGAAGGCTGTGCATGGCACTCTTCCCTGGAGACCTCAATGGCCATCAGGAGACCAGCCTTGCTAGCCTGGCGGTGCAGGCCTGGAATCCTAGATGTTCAGAGGCTAAAAAGAAGAAGAAGAAGAAAGACTGAAAGTTTAAGGCCAGCCTAGGAACCCAGGGAGATGCTGTCAAAGTAAAAGATAAAAAGAGGACAGGGTGAGGGTGTCCTAGAATCCCCCAGTGAAGGGCTGGGGCATAGTTCAGTGGTAGAGCTCCTGCCTAGAATCCCCCAGTGAGGGGCTGGGGCATAGTTCAGTGGTAGAGCTCCTGCCTAGAATCCCCCAGTGAGGGGCTGGGGTGTGGCTTAGAGGTAGAGCACCTGCCTAGAATCCCCCAGTGAGGGGCTGGGGTGTGGCTTAGAGGTAGAGCCCCTGCCTAGAATCCCCCAGTGAGGGGCTGGGGTGTGGCTTAGAGGTAGAACACTTACCTAGCATATGCTCCACCCTAGTTGCATTCTTAAAGTCGAAAAAAAAAATAGAAGGTGAAAGTGGTGAACTGCTGGACAAATAGGGGGTGGAGGAGGCTACTACCCTACTCTCAGCCATCCAAGCAGCAGCTTGGACTGGGGGCCAAGTTGGTGCCATGCTGGCAGCCAAGACTCCTCCTGACCCAACTCAGCCTCACTCTACCAGGAATCTTGGTTTTCCTGGTGAGCTCTGAGCCCTGGGTCTAATAGAAAGATCTGCCTTTGTTGTGTTAAGCAGCTGAAGAGCATTGCTATGCCAAGTAGGAAGTCAGAGCAGAGCCAAGTAGACACATGAAGGACAATGGGAAGCAGAGCTGGATGGTTTGGGGTACCTTCCTTCCCTGTGGTAGCTTGAATGTAACTGGCCCCCATAGTCTCATAAGGAGTGGCATTATTAGGATGTGTGGCCTTCTTGGAGTGGGTATGACCTCATTAGAGGAAGTGTGTCACTGTGGGGGCAGGCTTTGAGGGATACTGCCCAGTGTGCCAGTTGATTTCCTGTTGCCTGCCTATCAAGATGTAAGGACTCTCAGTTCCAGCATCATGTTGGGCTACACACCACTATGCTCCCCGTCATGATGATAACGGAGGGAACCTCTGAAACAGGAAGCGAGCTACGCCAATTAGATGTTTTCTTTACTAGAGTTGCCATGATCATGGTGTCTCTTCACAGCAATAGTAACCCTAACTAAGACAGCCCCTTACCTGACTCTACTGACTAGTACTGAACACAGAAATAGAAAAAGAAGCATTTCTGAGGTCTCAGACACCACAGAGAAGCAGGCAACCAAAACATGGCGCGCCCATGTTTGGCCAGTATCTTTACTATAGGACTGGTTCAGAAGGACATGTCCGTGAAGCTGAGGGAAGAACAGGACGATCAGGCATCGTGTGGTGCTGTCACTAGACACCACTCCTCAGGGGCTCATGTGCACACAGCGAGGGCTTTGGAGCAGTTGGCTGTGCTAGATTTTGTACTTCCCCAAGTCCTGGGTGGGGGGGTCTCAGTCAGGGACAGACTTGTGAATACAAGAAGGGAGCTCCCCATCTGGAAATTTTCCTTACCCATGAAGTGACAGATGTGGCGGAAGGAGCTGGAAAGGTTGGAATATGGCGTATCCTCAACCTTGATGTGCAAGAGTTTGTCCGCATCGCCTACAAAACTGAAGGAAGGCAGCGTGGTTTAAGTATCCGCTTCCTGCTTGGTTGGACCATTCCTTCCAGAAGGGAGGCTTCTTAAGACTCAGGAAGTAAAGGAAACTTCCAAGTCTCAGGAACTGAGAAACCTGAAAACCCCAGCAAGTTTCTGAAACTTACAAGATTCACAAGGCCCATCCCCAAGCTATATAGGCAGTAACAAGTGCAGGTGAGCGGGGGCTCTCTGAGTCACAGCTAGCATGAATCCTGACTCCGCTCCCTATGAGTCGTAGTCTCCCTACACATGCACCTGTTAAGAAGCCACAGTAAACTCACTGGTTCTCTATGCTGAACTTTGGTGTCCTTGTTTTTAGTCTGTCGTCAGTGTCCTATCTGGGGTAAAGAGATGCTGCTTTCTTCACATCACCCCAGAAAAAGTCAGCCAGCCCCACTGGTGTCCCTTGTCCACAGCACAGAAACCACAAAGGAATGATTGGGAGCTGACACAAGGATGACAAGAAGTAGTAGAAACATTACCTGGGGGCTGGGGAGATGGCTCAGTTGATACAGGGCTTGCTAGGCAAGCATCAGGACATGAGTTTGATTCCTCAGTCCCCATAGAAAAAGTAGGCTTGATGGCCTGCACTTGTAATCCCAACACTGGGAAGTGAAGGCAGATGGATTCCTGGCCTCATTAGCTAGCCAGTTTAGCCTACTTGGTGAATTCTAGGCCAGTAAGAGGCCCTGTCTTTTAAAATATGTGGATAGTTCCTGCAGAATGACACTGGAGGTCGTCATCTGGCCTGTGCATATAGTCACACACATGCACATACACAGAGAGAATGTCTGACAGAAGACATCTGCCTAGAATCCCCCAGTGCGGCGCTGGGGTGTG